AAATTGATTTTTTCTTGACTCATTGCTGTTTCAAATTATATACTAAAAGCCTGCAATTTTGCTCTACACTCTGAGATTGTTTTTCTTCTCTTCAAGTTATTAAATGCCCTTTTCCTGGAAGACGTGCCAAGAGGCACGTCTTCCAAACGGACCCCCTACCGAAAAAAAAAACACACAAACAGTATAAACTGGATTATGAAACAGAAAATCTGACTGCTGTACCATGGTGGAGAGCAGAGAGCTATCTGATCAAGGGCAGAAAAAGGGCAGGAATTTCACTCGGGCTTCGCGCATCCCACAGCGGATGCATTGTCGCTTTAAAGGACCCCTGAAAAGAAAAAAAAAAAGTTTTTTTTTTAACAGTGTGGTTGGGACACGCGTGTCAAAAAAAAATAATTTTACGCGAAATAAAGAAAGGTTTAGAGCAATATTGACGGCGCGAGACGCGATTTATTCGGTAGTCACCTCCTTTCCACTTGTTTCCTCTCTCGGCACTTAGGGCGCGTGGAGGAGAGGTAGATCGGGATCGGGATCGGCTTGGCCTTCATGTTGAGGTGGAGAGAGTGTACGACCATCTCGTTGAGCGAATGACCTCTCCGTGACGTCATGAACTTGCGCGCAGAATTTCAAATAAATCTCTCGCCGTCAATATTGCCCCCAAAAAAATATTTTTCGCGTGAAATTTATTTTTTGGCACGCGTGTCCCACTACACTGTTAAAAAAAACAAAAAAAACAAAACAAAAAAAACAGCTTTTTTCTTTTTTCAGGGGCCCTTTAAGTGTGATTTCGAGTCCGACCGAGTGCGAAATTTGCTATGGCAACATCTTCGTCGGATTCAACAAAACGGGGTAGAAAGCGGTTTTGTTGGAGCCGACGCAGCTGTTGCCATAGCAACCCTCGCCCAAGGACCTCACACAGACGCTGTCGCACGCCGCGTTACTTGAGCCCCGCATCTCATGCCGTTCGCCTAAGTGCGGCCTACCTTCGACACAATTGTGCCGTGGCAAGGCGGTCCCGTTCAGTCACGTCTCTCGTCTTCCAGCGTGTTTGGTACTTTCCAGCTGGTTCGTGGGATGAAAAAGCGCCGAAAGCGACACTTGACTGCGTTCGTCATTTTCCTGCCGGAAGTTTCAGTGAGCCAAAGGCAGGAGGTGTGCTGTTATGTAGCGGTTAGGAGTGGGCGAATAGCGGTTCGAATGGAATGGCACAGCGTCAGAGATGCGGTCGCTTTGCCCACCAACCACTGTGAAGCTGACCAATATGTTGTTCAATTCGAATCGCACCCACCCGCACTTTTAGTTGTGTGCCTGCAATAGTCACAAAAAGCTTAAAGGGGCCATGAAACGATTTTGAAATCGAATTACATCCACGCACGTTGTAAAAGATGTGAAAAAAAAAACAACCCAGAACACAAAGATAGATTGCCAAAAAAAAACTTTTCGCTATAGAACTTTTAAAAGAAAAGCGGACTCTTTTATTCCTTCTTTCTTTCGAAAGCTGTCTGCCTTTTCACTGCGATGCATCCGCGGTGCCAAGGTACATCAGCCAAATTCACGTCGCGTATTGGTTAAGAGCCTACCTCACCAGTATCGCGATCGTAAACAATAAATAGTCTACGAATGTTTCTTCAAAGCTTTGTTAAAGAATATCCTTATCTACATTTTGTCGAATAATTAGCGATGTGACGGAAATAGACCCTTTCCAAAATTCAGTCTGGCCACCTTGATCACTATCATCACCTGTGGAACGGCGTCTGTGCCGTACCAATGGCGGCCTTGTAGTGACTGATAAAGTAAGACATTGAAGATGCTCCCATGCGTATGATGCGAGGCCCGTACATTCGGGAAGTTAGTACGACGCCACGTAGGAATGGAACACAAGAGGTACGTAAGCGATCATTTCTAACTCAGGTTCAGTCAATCTGTGGGCGGCACACAACCGGCTTCAAAGCCCCTTGGTGAATACCATTTTATCAAGGCGTCTATATCGGTTGGAGCTTTGTTCTCACTGCAGGTTCTTGGCCATTACCGAACTGAAAGAGCTAACATTGAACAGTTCCTCGCGTGCCGTTGACTTGCGAAAGTGACGGTGCCCGGTAAAATACAAGTTCATTTCGCCACTGGTATGGCAAAGCCTAAACTGCTATACGAAACACCAGATGGCACTGAATTTCTGAAAGGGTCTATCGCCGAATTTTATAATGCTCGGACTCTGCGCCATCTATCGTGTGGTAAACGAGGCGGGAGAAAGATAAGGCTGCGTCTGCGCTTTTTCGCCGTTCCTGCTTTCTGCTGAAAAGCATGGTGTCGGTGCTGATGATTGACGTGATCGGCGTGGTGGAAGCTTATCGTTTCGCGTATAGCGCTATCCTTGACTGAATTCTCGTCGCGTGTCGCGATGATAGCCTAGCACGTCCTAGAAAGGAAGATCCATCGACTCGTGCGGCGATGTTGTGGTGGCACCCTTAAGACGGCAGAAACGCTATCTGTCGTCGTGATTGTTTACTTCGACTACAATGGTCCTTTCTTAGCATTTGTGTCCTCGAACACCTCCCGGATTTCTTATTTTGCGCATTCCATGCGTGTGCTCACGTTCGAGGTATTACTGGTGGTGCGTACTGTATTTAAAGATGTGTATGGAGGATGCGAATTGTGACGCGTGTTCATCACCCGAGAAAAGTGATTAGTATTATCATTTCTGACCAATCCCAACGTCTATGTGTTCACAAAATTATATTTCTACGTTGCTATATCCCTGCTAAGACTACATCGCCTTTTGCAATCGTAGAAAAGGCGTGTGGCGAGATTTACACTATCAGTAAAGTCGTGTTTTAAAGTCTTGATCGTCGAAGACGGCGTACTGCATCCTTTTCTTTTTCCGTCTACTCTTCCCTGCGAGCCTATCCTGACAAAATAAAAGTGAATAAAGCTTGAGCCGATAGAAAATTCTTTGCATTTTCTGCTACACCAGTGAGCGACAGCGCGTCCCTTTCTTTTTAGCGATACCGCGGAAACGGCTGAGGGCGACGGAGAAGTGGCTGTCGTGCTGACGACCTGCTGCCCTTCTTTCAGGGGGTGCAAGAGTGTACGCGTGGCGCTGAGCGGTTGTTACGGTCACTCCGGTCACAACGGACGAAGTCGTAGCTGACGGGCTCGTTGCAAGTGCCCGGATTGCAGTTTACGCAGTGCGGAGCTTAAAAAGAAACGGCATTAGTCTCACTGCTTGCTACGCCAGGAACCACGTCGAAATACTTCGGGCTCAACGGTTTGAGGGACCCCAGGTCTGAAGGTCCTCCATGTAGGCTCGGAACTTCCGTACATTGGAGTCGCCACTACTTGTCGTCCGATTCCCTGGCGTCTTCGTCGGAAGTGTCGCCCCACTTTCCAACAGGCGTATCCGGCGTATGGGACCATGCACGCTGTCGCTGTAGCGCAACATATCTAATTGAATTTCGCTCAGCTGCGATGTGTCCATGGCTATCGCGGTGATGAGAGGCGCCGATTCAGAAATAATTTCGGGGCATCGGCGCCATCAGCGCAATAAAACCCTCTAATAAAACCTATCGGCACACTGCCAGCTCGCCGCTAACGCCGAAAGTTCTCTCGCCAGCTGCCGAGAGAACTTTCGGCTCCGGTGACAGAGCACGTCATGAGCGTCAAAATTAGACCCGGCTTGTTTTGCTGTGAATGGGAGTGGAAGAAAAAATCGATATTTCAATAATTTTTGGTGTAGAAGTTAACAAACCGAAACGAAAACGAATGCCTGTTTGGCGTTCAGTGAACATTGAAGGTTTAATGTAAAAGTTATTTGGTAAAAGTTATAACGCCATTTCATGGTCCCTTTAAGAAACGCTTTGCCCGAACATGTGATTATCATGATGTAAAATCCTGAGACTGGGAATGAAATTTGAAAGAAACAAAATAAAAGATATTTACAACTCCCTGTAACGCCGAATTAGAGCGCAGCTCTTGAGGAGGAGGAGGGAAGGGTACGGAGGGGACGGTATGCCTCTCCTCCTGCCTCCTCATCTACTTCTCCCCTGTCCCTCGCCTCCTCCCCCACTTCAATTCCTCCTTCCTCTTCCTCTTCCCTCTTTCTCTTTCTCCTCCCCCTCCTCCCTCCGCCCTCCCGCGCAGTGCATTATCGGAGACGTCCCATAAAGCAACGCGCGCGTCACCGCGGTGCATTATGGCACGTTTCCCGTAATGCACCGCGCGGTTACGTCGACGGCGGCGTCACCAAAAAGCGTTACACAGACGCGTTATGGCTACGCCGACGCCGACGCGTCAAGAGAAAACGTTACACCGACGCGTTACGGTTACGCCGACGCCGACGGCGACGCCACTGAAGCCGGAAACGGGTGCCTAAGAGCTGCGCTCTAAAAGTGTAAGAAGACAGAAAACAGTTTAGCGCCTCACAGCCAGTGCGGTTCTGAAATTGCCGGCGCCAAAGAACAAATCATCGAGAGAAAGCTGTCAATGACGCCTCTGATAGCACTCTTAGCTAAGGTGAAGCGAAGAATAGGGGGAGGAAAGACGTAAGCCTAGACCTTAGTGGTTCCTGAAAGTTCGAGGAACGCTTCGACGTTCTTCGGTCTTCTTATCGAGCGAAATTTCATCGGCTTCACAGTGCTAAGAAATGGCTCGGGGGCTCATCACGCCCCTTCAAGTGTCATTAATTAGACACGCCGCTCGGGGCAATATCAGCTAGAAGACAAGGCCCGCGCATGACGACATCCTTAGTGGACCCTTACCTGCCCCATGCTGCAGACGTGCTGGATCTCGATGATGGTCGCGGGCGTGGTGTCGCCACGTGTTAGCGTCGCGCTCGTTGTGCGACGCTGTGAGACGCGCTGTCGATGCTGAGTGGAGCCATGCAGCCCCTTAGTGCATTCAGCAGTGATCGCGTTTGGGCAGGGGGTGGAGGCACAGGCCTTGCCTTCGAGGTTGCTCGCAGAGGCCTTTCAAGCAGCGTACTCAGAGCTCTCTCCGGTTCGCAGGAGCGTCTTCCGCAAGACCAGCGTCCAAGTGGGGCTCGTCCTGTTCTTCCTGTTGGTCCTTGCCATGGCCATCGCCTTGGCAGTCTTCTTCGCCTTGTCGCCCTGGGTGTTCCGTGGCCACAACGAGGTCGAGTGCGAGGTTCAGCTCGAGGTGACCCCTTCGGCATCGGCGCTGGGCAACTACAGCAGCTGGGCCGTATCCACGGACGCCGCGCCGTGCACACCCGTCGCCAGGTATGCACCTTTCCAAAGAAACGCTGCTAGGCCGCCGCCACGCGTTGCTGATGCGGATGCGGCTGGTGCGACTCTCGCGCCCCCTATGAGCTTGGAATTTTCTGCCACTCTCTTGGACTGTGGAAACCCGCTCAGCGCGATTCTCTACCTATGTTTGGCGGTTCTCCATTCAGCGTTTTCTTGCCCCTCTTGAAAGTTTCTACTTAATTTTTCTGGTGCATGCTGCGTACCCTTTCTGTGTCATCTTCCGCTATGAGAAATAGGGCTGGTAAGTGCCCACCATTCAAGCGTTTCTGCTCGACATTCACGGGAAACGAGGGAGGGGAGAGACGTCGAACAGCCCTCGACGCGATTTTGCGAACAATGGCAACTGTTCTCCCTCTTCCGAGAGATCGATGCGCGTAGAGTCTTTTTCAGTCATAGCCAAAAATAGTTGTTCGGGTCGGAGTCTGCCGCGCCCGTTCCTTTGCCTTGGTGCTGGTGTGGAAAAAGTAAGCTGTCCCCAAAACGTGCCCCAAAACCAAGTCATCTTGGATTCTGTCCGATCGTCGAGATGTGACTGTCGTTGACTGTGACTGTGTTATTTGAGATCTTTCTCAAATAAATTCTTTTCAGATAACGCTGCATCGTCTGGTACGTAGAATACGTCGTTCGAATGTAAACACTCGCTAAATTCTATGTCTCTATCCTGTCCATCGGTAAACACGTTATTTATGTGTGTGAAATATGCATGCCTTTCGGCTATCTTCTGTCGTAAATTATTTTCGACAGCCAAGCGCTTTGTCGTCTGACACGCGGCTAATCGGGCGGCACCGTCAAAACTTATCGTAAAATGAAACAAACAACTAACATTCCAGTCGCATTCGTTCTGTCGCGCGCGTACCCAACAAAAATAGTTTTTTTTTTGCCTTTTTTTATTGTGGTACGATGCTTTCTCAATGTCCTCCGGAATATACATACACCATGAAACACCAAATAGAGCGGGAAAATACGAGAATTGAGCCGCAAGCAGTGTTTGAAACTGCGCCTATGCAGGCTGCGCCTATCGAAATCACAGTCTACTCGGTTAGGGTTAGCAGGGACGCCGATGAGAGTCTACACACTAAAAATTTCAACACCCATGTTCGTGTTAAAAGGGTGTTTTTCCGAGCTCACACCCTTCCTACACCATTTTTACATGATTTTTGAATATTCAAGGGTGTACGGAAAGGCCTACACCCTTCGTACATCCCTTTTACACCCTACGGCTACCGAAATCGTGTTAAGAGGGTGTTGCGGTGGTACACCCATGATTTCCGAATCGTCGAACTCAGACATACGCGCGAACAGCAGAAGTCAAGAAGCAGCCTGCTCAATTTAGAGGATTTCGTGAAGTTCAAGTAAGCACAATGGGCAGCTGACATCCAAGCCAAGCCAACGCTCAAGTTGTTTTCAAGCCAGATGAATGCCGGCGTTGTGTACAAGCTCCTTGGTTGTTTACGTGCAAGCGACCACGAAAATAGCATCGGTTACTCACGCACTTCTGCTCAGAATGGTGAGACCACATCGGTTCTATTATGATACATTCCTTCTTATCCTGAGATGTACTAAAGCGAAGGCTAGACGTGCGAGACGGTTCGGGCTCACAGCTTTACTGTGAGCCTGTACCGTAAAGGTCGGTTCCGACACTTGCGTTTGAGTGTGTTTGTCTGCGTTGCGTTTAGAACCGAAAACGAGTCACCGGCACATCTGTGCTTCGTATGAAGCGTGGATTCCAATTCAAAGAATCATCTTGGCACGCGATATAAGCAGCAGGGATGTCCTGGTTTCTCGCAGCCGCAACGCGGTCAAACGCAACTGTTTGAACCAGGCTTTACGTGGTTGTCCTGTGCTTGTCCCTCGCGCTTTATTCTTTCGATTTTAAGTATTCATTTTCAACTCGCTCGCTTTTAACAGTACTAGTAGATACTCAGGCTGCACGAGGGTTCGTGCAGTGCGACCATCTAGCGATGCTATGAGCTTGTGCTCGAACCTTGGCTTTAATGGGCAATCATCGGGGATATATGACACACGATGATGCCAAGTCTGTTCACGGCGGACTCTCGTGCTGTTCTGATTGGAGGAGAAGGGGCGTGTAAAAAATTGGCAAATGGAACATGGTTAGCGACAGCGCAAATATATGTTGGAAAAAGTTCAGAACATTGAAGTGCAGCAGCCTGAAAGTTTGGAGTTAAGCAATTAGAGAATCATTTGAAGACATCTTTAGAGGTTCAGCCTTCTCTCCCCCCACACCAATATCGAAGGCTGCTAGGATATTGGTTCAGGCTAAGCCCTCTGTCTTTCAGTCAGCGAACTCGAGCCGTTCCACCTGACCTTGTTATTTCATAACAGATATGTTAGAAAATGGAATGCAGATTTTCTTTACACGGCCAAAACATAAAGTGTTATCAAATAATACCTGCCATATTCATATTCTACATTTACAGACTGGGGCTGCCCCGCCTGTGGAGGGTGAAGATGCGAGCAGCCTCGAAGCCCACCAACAGTGGCTGTGTGCTGAGAGCGAAAGCTGGTGCCTGACGAAGGCCAGATTGATCTTCGAAAGGATGCGACTGCCTGCAAATGGCTACATGTGTTGACATTGATGGGCATATAGACTGCACAGAATGCTTATCGCTACCTGATGGATGCTAGGAGGGTATGCGTTCCATATTTTTTTACTGATCTCTACGACAATTGCTAAATTGCGCTTCCCCGTTCCGTGATTGCGGCTGCCGGACGACCATCTTGGGACACGGAAAATTAACCTTTTGGAGCGTTGCAGAGGCTGGCCGGCAGCGAGCTGCAGACATGTTTTTTGCTCGTTTGTCGTCATTGGGAGCGTTAAAGTGGCCCTGCAATAACTTTTTGACTGGTTTTTAATTGGGACCGGACCTGAGCGCATTGAACGTAGTAATTTAAAGAAACTTTTCTTTTCTCAAATTTCGCTTTATTTTAAAAGTTATAGGCAAATTAGACTTACAGAAACAAGCAAAAAATAACATCCTTCATGACGTCATAGGTCCTGGTTTGAGTGGCCGTGAAGTAGTGAGCTCATCGAGCGCTCGCGGCTGCCGCACTCAGTGTCAACGGCTCGAGAGGGTGCCACTAAAGCACGTGTTGACTAGGCTGTATGAAGCGGGCGGCCAGGGCAGCTCGCATTGCATTTGCCGCGCGATTAAAGACTAATTCGGCATAACACTTCATTGGCCACAAACGACGGCAAACACGGGGTAAAGATCAGTTCAGAACGGGAGCCACTTCGCGCTGCCATACCGCCAAAGGGTCAAATCGCCAGCCAAGCCCGCGCCGAAAGCCTTGGGAATGCTCGGAACCGGTCGGATCCTCGAGCCGGTATACGGCCGCAGCGCCACCACGTACATCCGGGACCTTTCTAAGCCCATTGTTCGTCGGAGCTTCATCCCACTACGCCTTTCTAGTATGCGCCGTTTTTTTCACCGCTTGGTGGCGGGTTTGTCGACGGGTCTTTTCTTGTTTCCGTACTTTATAAACTGCATTTGTTTCTTTTCTGATCTAAAATACTGAACAAAAACTACTTTCATACATAATTGAAACGGTTCGCGACACTTATATTTTGTATCGACTAAAAAAAATGCTTTTAGCGGCTCTGACCAGTAGTAAGCCCAGGACCAAAGACGTCACATATTCCGCGCTTTCGGCAACGCGGGTCGCCCTCGTAGGTGGAGGAGGTTTCCGCGTCGTCCGGTTAAAATATGACTTACTGATATTTAGTTATTCTCTCCGTGCCCGCTGGCTTACCCGAACCCAAAGAGACGTGGAAACCGCAAAAGAGGTAGACGCTTAAGTATGATTGCAGCTCCCCTTTAAGTCCACACTCCTTTACTCCTACTCTGACGCTCCGAGTTTCATACTCCAGGCACAGCAACTAAACGGCGCATGGCGTACACACCAAATCTATTGACGAGCCGCACAAGCTCCTTCCCACCGCACGGTTATGACGAACCTGGCATCCCGTGGATACGGGTGGGAGAAGCCAAAATTATTTCGGTGGTAAATTAATTAAAGCCAGTGTAGAGCGGCAGGGTACAAAGTAAAAGAGACGGCGACGTTATGAAGTTTCTACGAACGTTTAAGTATTTCTGAGAGGTTTGGAGACTCGCTTCGAGCACGTGCGGGGAAAGGCACCTTGGCTGATCTATTTATTGACCGTGCAAGCTGTTTATATTTGACCGTGCAAGCTGTTTTCAGGCGAGATGCACGAACAAACCTTTCCCGCAATGCTAACTGATGCTTCGGCTTTCCAATCTAAGTATCTTTATTCGCTGCAGCTGGACTAAGCAGTTTAAAAAGGGCAGCCGTCCCACTGTCTTCTCGGCAACTTTTCTGTCGCCGAGCTATCAGCACGCTCGTTCGATAGATCACTTTGTTCTCAGGCAAGGCACATGAACAAACCTTTTCCGGAATGCTAATTGCTGTCTTGGCTTTCAAATCAAATTGTTTTTACCTGCTGGATTAACCGCTAATGGACTGAAAAGGAGCAGCTGTCCGGCTACGCCTTTTGGTTCAACAATCTCAACAATGGCACAGCCATCTTGTTTGTGGACGTGACATCACGGAGCGCAAAGAAGTCACTTGTGCTCCAAGAAATGCTCGGAGCACGAAGAGCACGCTCGAGTGTCAGTCTCCGGCGGCGCTCCCCTCTGTTTAGTGAAAGGAGCGCCAAACGCTCGCAATGTGTAAACAATAAGAATTTCCTTTGAAAACGCATAAAATATTTTGCAACAGCGCGGCACCGCAGGAAAAAGGCACAACTTGTCGAACGTCGAGTCTCGCCGGTCTTGCGGCGTGATCAAAGCTTCCTTGGCCTGCCAAACTGCTGCGTCTCTGTGCCTTTTCACGCTTGGATACTTATCAAGAATCAATGCCATGGCAGAGCTTTGAAGGTATGTCGTACATAGGCGTCTTCTCTATCACCCAGCTGTTCCAGCGAGTTGCTATCA